TAGTTCAAAGAATACAGAAGGAACTAAAGACAATGGAGGAATTTTAAATATCACAGATGATACCATTAAACTTATTTGCTACTTCCTGAGACTTTTGAGTCCACAAAGTATCATTAATACATATAATATCTTTGGGTTCTCTCTTGCGTTTTGATAGCTAAAACATAGGAATAAAGAGCAAGTGTAGCCAGGCAATTGCATAGGAACTTCAGAGCTCTAGAAGACAGAAAATTATTCCCCTAGAAATTGTCTTTAATCAGCCTTTCCACTCTTTTCTTTTGATATGTAGTTTTTAGCCTGCTTTATATGATTCTGTGCCATATTCTGCCTTTCTGTGTTCTTACTGGGTTTCCATTAATACTGATGGTCAACATATATGTGCATTTGAGGTATGTATATATGGATTTTTGGTCTTCTAATGACTCTACTTGTTTCCTGGGGTTACAGTCTTTATCTCTCCAGAGTTCTTCCATCACATGGTGGATGTGACAGCCGTTCTGGAGGGCCATCCTTCTCTGACAAGCTTGTTCTGACAAAGAGCCCCTGCTCTGCTGCACAGACCACTGTCAAGTCCTTTAAAAACAAATGAGAGACAAATTTCAGAGAGCTGCTTTCTGAACCTGACAATATCAGTTAGGTCATGGTAGCTTTGTTTGGCAGCTAGTTAAATTGGATAGTTCGGCACATCCCTAGATGTTAATGGTTAAATGTATTCATTGTTCCAACAAGGGCCCTATTCATAAGGGGACTATTCTCTGCTCGTTATGCATGCATAATTCCCATTAATGCTACTGGGGGTTAAGTGTGTATAGTGAGGGGGGAGAATGAAGCTTATGTTTACACATCCATGTTTGCACTCCGAGAAGAGGTTTTGTAACACATGAGAAATTGATTGTGTTTTGACAGATCCTTTAATTTTAAGGAACTTTAAATCTCTGCTTTAAAGAGGGAATGAGAATGGGGGAAAAAGTGACACTTGTACAACTGACTACTGCCTCGCACACCATACTTTGTCAATGATTAGAAATATTACTCCAGTGCTATTACTAGAGAAGCTTTTTGAAAGTAACTAAGTGCTCGGAAATACAGGGTTCTAAATTGGGTATCAAAATAATGACTCAGAATCTTTAACGTTAGACACAAAGTTTTGCAAAGTTTTGACTCATGTTAATCAGGGTGACAAGATTTTGTGATTTATATACAATATGGATATTTTCCATAGAAAACCTTCAGATTAAGATTCCTCACTCTTAGGTGCACATCAAAGTCGTGTAAAAGCCATAAAGAAGCTAAGCATTGCCTAAGAAAGCCTTTCAAGTTCCAGAAAGTGCTTGAACTACTGAGGGTTTTGAAGTGCTCTAATCTCTGACATGGGTGACGTGCTAGGCTAGCACTTTTTTGTTTTGTCACAAATCATCCATGCACATAGTGCAAAAGGACCCTGACAAAGTCATTTTACTTTTGAAAAGGGCTGCTTTTTTCATACCATTATGTCTCCCATTCACATCTACATGTTTGCTTCCACTTTGTTCAGGTCTAAGTAGCAGGGCATTTGCATAGTCTTCCCTTTGTTCTCGGTAAATATGGAGTAAAATGAGCAAGATCCTTGCTGTGAAATTAAAGCTCTACTCTTGAGAGATCTTAAGGGCCAAATCCTCACAAAAGGTACAGCAACACAGTGCCAAAGGAGCTAGTGTCCAGAACAGCTTGCTCTGGGTGTTTGTGCTAGGAAATGTGGATAAAGGGAGAGAGTAATCTGGTGAAAACTGGGTGTAATTAGAAAAATACATTGCTGAGAGCTGCTGAAAGAATAGAATAATAGAAAATAGTGCTGAAATGGACCTGAAGTGATCATCTGGTCCATTCCTGCTACTTGCAGCCAGGATAAGCTGTGTTTAAATCAGTGATCACAATCTTCTTAGGCTGTTTATTCCAGTGCTTAATTACCTTGCTGCTTTGTTTTTTTTTCCTAATGAGAAACCTAACCCTCTCTTGCTAAAATACAGGCCTTTTGCTTCTTATCCTATTCTTAACACCTTCCTCTTTGCAGTAACATTCACGTAAGTGACAACTGCTCTGGTTTGTTCTGCTCTGAAACAGTGCTCTATGCATTTGCACTAGTGACAGATACAGTATTAAGCTTTTTTGTGTAAGTCAATCCAGCCTAAGTTTGGGACGCGTGCAGTCCAATGAGCTTTGTAACTAACCACATGTGCTCTGAGTCTGAAATAAATTTGACATAAAGTGCACTAGTTTAACCTGGAATTAATGAAGTTAATTCAAGATGTGGTGACTCATTAAGCATCATAACTTGATCTGGTGTTTAAGCCCAAAGAATATGTTTCTTCCTCCTTTGTAAATTTTAGAGTATTGTGAAGAAGGAATTGTGTAGCAGACATATAGTGTGGGGATATCAAATTCCATGCTCATGAAAGAAAATAACTAATTCACAGATTTGCCACGTAATTGTAAAGAGGAGCATGCAGAAAAAGCAGTTTTCAAGTGATCAAACTCTCAACAGCAGTTGAGTTGCAAGGTTGCTAGTGGAAAACTGCAGTGTTGTAGCACAGCAGCATGGAGATACCTGAAGACATGAGGCTTATATGAAGTAGGATGTCTCAGGGCTACAGTGGGGCATTTGCTCCTAGCTTGAAAAATTATGTATTGACCCTAGACTTTGCTGGCAGTAGTTCACTATAGTGCAGGTGTGTAGGCCAGAAGATGGAAATCAGGCTACTGACAACAGAGGAAGGTGGCCAAAGTTTTAGGTGTCTTGCAAATAGAAACAGGTTTTCTAGAGCAAGTCTGAAGATCTCCAATTTTCCAGGTAAAGAATAGCTCTGGCCTCTGTTCTTCAATGTGTTGCTGTTTTGGGAGTTCATTCTTGAGCAATGTTTTATTGTTACTGATGTAGGGAAATTATTCTTACTTTGTGGCTGAAAAAACAAGGCTCAAAGAGATCAGGGTTGTTTATGCTTATGTCTCCAGGTGGATTTGGTACTGCTCCAGCATGCTCCAAATAGCTGCAATCCAGTGCTGTGTTGCAAGCAGTGTAGCCATACCTGGCATGATGTTGTGCCTGAATTCAGATCATCCTCTACTGCTTCCAGACCAGAGCTTGTGTCTTGCCACTCCAAAGCATGGATGGATGTCTGCAAAATACTGTATGGCTGTACTCCGTATGACTTGTCCTGGGAGTCTGTCAGAGGATGGAATCTCAAACCCTTCTGTCCCATGTTCCTGCCCCATTGTCCTTCCATAAGGAAATGCAAAAGGTGGGAACTGGAAGGCTTGAGTCATGTTTTCAGAAGGGACAGGGGCTTCCTAAGTAGTATTTGGGGAACAGCACCCAGGGTCTTGTATGGCTGCTCTGTGTTGGCAGTTGAAATATTCCCTCCTTGCAACACACAAAATGAATCAGTTTTTTAGAAGTGCAGAATAGCATGTGTTTTTTAGTTATCTTCTGTTTTTACATGGGCAGTTAAAAGGAGAGGTGTAATAAGTCTGAAAGCAAGAGAACAAAGCATACGTAGAAAAACCACTCACTTCCCAAAACAAAGTAGGACTTTTAAAAAAAGAGATTGAAAACATTGCTCTCAGAGAAAGGCTCTGCTCAGAGAAGACTTGACTTCAGTCTCCTAATCTCAGTTTGGAAGTCTGGGAAAAAATACAACTTTGGGCTGCTCCGAATGGTAACAGATGTATTTGGCTGAAGTATTGCATTTTCGGTTTCAAGCTGCAGTAATCAAATTTACTCTTCCTAACCTGGTTTGCCCTAGATATGTCAGGAAATATAAACATTTGCCTTTCCCAAGAAGTAGCTGTGGTTTGGCTGTACCTGGTTGTGATCTAAAGCTCACTGGGAGCTCCCCCTTTGCTGGTCACGGCCCTGCCACGCTCTGTGGCCTTTTGATAGAAATAAACCCCAACTGTGATGAAAAGTGTTGATGTTGTTTGTTGGCAGGGCTGTTGGCTTAGATTTGGAAAGTTTATTCTAGAGTCGCTATCACAGGTGCCAAAACATTAGCTGAGTAGCAAGGACTGAATAGGGCCAGCTCGTGTCAGTTTGGCTGCTGTGTCTCTGATGGCTGCCATCCTCAACCCAGCTTCCTTTCTAACTGCCTGCCTCTGGCCTTTCCAAATGTGGATTGAGTGTAGCCAGCGCTGCCTGCCAGTGTGTATAGCTGGCTTCAAACAGCTCCGCGACACGGTGGACTGCTCTGTCCATCTTGAATGATTAGCTCTGAAGCATCAGTAATGCTGTTAGTTTTGAATGGAATAACACAAGCAAGAAGGGAAACACAATCAGTTCAATGTACTGTGAATGGTGCCTTGTTTTAGTGATATAAGGGAAGAAACATGATTTCTTAATTTATATAACAGGTGCATAGGATCAAAATCAAAAACAGGCTCTCAGAACACTGAACATGCACATAGCAAAAGGCAGTCTCCACTAGGAGTTGCTTGCAATCTAAGCAAACAGAAGGTAAGTATCCTCCTCTTTTACGTATGGGGAAACAAACTGTGGAGACTAAGGGACTTGCCTAAGGTCAAACATACATTTTCATATTGCCAAACCTAGGAGCCCATCAAAGGTTTCCACACTGGTTTTCAAAAGTTGTTGGTCTGTGGTCCCAGCTTAAAGGCTTTTGGAACATCTTCCAAAGGATCCTGCCCCTCCTCAGTTTTTGGGAAGCTGCATCTGTTTCAGAATCCATTATCTTGGCTCAAGATGTCCCAGCAAGATACAGGCCTTCCTGCTAAACGTACTGCTGGGATCCAGGAGCACGTGGCAGGATGCATCATGTGTAGTGAGCTCAGCCGCTTCCCAGCTTGGGGGTATGGCTGGTACTCAGAAATATGGGAATGGTCCCTTCAGGTGGGATTTCATTGTGGACCTTCTTTAATCCAATTCCTCATTCCTCATTGCTGCTGCCCTGGGGGAAGCACCACATAGAATCTGCTCCTGGTACAACCAGAATGTTTTCTGTGGTCTAGGCGGACAGAACAAAACAAAGCAAAAACAAATGAGGAAGGGCAGAAGGCCACTCCCACTCCTGACTTCAGAAGAACTATGTGTAAGTGGAAGTACTGTCATGGCTTTTAATTTCATGGGGGCTAGATTAGTTTGCTAATGGGCCCTTGCCGCTTTTTGGACCACTTAATACTGTCACCAACTCCTTGATGTGTTTGGGGTTTTAACTGTTTGACCTTCCATTGATTTTAATTGAATATATGCAGTTAAAAATCACAAGTACTTGTCTGAAATCAAGTGCATGTAACTCTAAGGTAATTAAAGTGTTTCTAAACTATAATGCTTTGTAGGTTCATTTTTCTATTAATTTTGACTTTTTTATAATGGGAAGCTGTCTGGGGTTTCCTGGCTGTGCTCTTGGAACAGGATTCACTTAAGAGTTTGACCCAAAGCCTGCTGAGTTCAGAGCTGTGTTAATGTCAAACTACTAAATTCCCTAAGAAGCATGAAGCACAGTGTTCTGTCTTTTAGCTATATTTAGCTGTTTTTAATATGACTGTTGATGCCACTGGGTGTCTCCATTGACATCAGGGGGTGCTGAACCAAACCCTCTGGTATTACTTACCTTGCCTCTTTACTGCCCTTTGTGCAAAATATTGCTCATGTGGTCTAGCATGGAACAAGTGATCTGAGTATAAATCTAGGTTTAGCCTAGACCATCAGAAGCAGGCTACTGGTCTCTTGTATGTGACCTGTGGGGCTATCAACTGGTACTTTTGGGGTGTGGTGAATGGTGGTTGTTTTCGTTACCCTTAAGTACTGTGCAGTTGTCCTGCACTTTTCAACACGACATAACTTGGAACAAGCATTCAGTTCTGCCAGCCTTACTTGCAGGGGTGTGTGGATGTGCAGAGGAATAGACTAGCACAGAGGTGTGGGGCCAAACTGGTGAGACAGCACTTGCAAATTTTATTTCTTCTGCATGCTCATGCTGAATGAGTATTCATCTCTAGTTTGACTGTCATGTGTGTTGGGCTCTTTCCTCTTTTGCCTGCTGTGGATTGCCTTCCAATGCCTGTGCATCCAATTCATGGCAACAAACTCTAGTTTTACATCAGTGTCACTGCTCCTGACAGCAATGGCATTATCTGCATAAGGAACCGAAGAAAGGGAACAAGATGCAGAGACCTTGTGATACAGTAGCCTTGCTGTTGCCTGTTTTAATTAATTACTGTGTCACGAGTGATGAAGTTGAAGAATTGACCCTAGTGAGGGGTGTCTTGCCTAGTAATCAATTGCTTAGTTTTGGTTCAGCTCTGTAAATAATTGCTATTCCTTTTGTGTAAATAGTATCAAGAGCTCATTGTGCTTTTCTTCACATTTTTGGGTTTTCCTCTTTCTTCTCCCTAAGAATAAAGAAATAAAATGGAAGGGGGAATGGAATCCTACAGAAATTAGTTCAAATACTGGTGAGAACTCTGATAGAAACTGTTTAGTAAGCCTGTGTATAACTTAACTTTTGTGCATGACTTGAGAATGAGAAACGGCCAAACTGGTCAAAAGCATTTGGGATTTTTGCTGTAAAATTAACACTTCAAGGAAGACAGATATATATTTTTAAAGGAAAGAACATGTTGTCTGAGCACTTGGCTTCATGTATGGTTGTCAAGAGAGGTGGCAAAAATGGAAGTATTCAAATCTTGGGGCAGGGAAGCGAAGGTCGGGAATTGTTATTCCTCACTTCTCCAATACTGTTCTTGCAATTTCCCCTTCTGAGGCTGTGGCCCAAATATCTCATAGTCCCTTGGTTCCTTTAGATTTTTCTTTGCTTTTGTTTCTTCTTCCAGTCTAACCTTCTTACAGATTTTTATATTGACACATAAAAGGAAAATGAATAAGAAATACAATTTAACATAAACGTATCAATATCTTTGAAATTTTCTGTGCTGTGCCACCTTACATGGATTTTACCACAGCAGGTGAAGCATATTAGGAAGCAGTTCCTATAAAAAAAAAAAGGTCATCTGTCATTGGTAAAACAGTTGGTGTTAACATCTGAATTATCGTTAGGCTTCAAAGTTGAGATGAATGAGGCAATTCACACCTCTCATAAAGCTATTTTATTTCATCTCCCTGTAGAACTAGATAGGCAGCCTCATATTGATTTGCATTCAAAGTTTTTGTAACTGTGCAGGGCTAGAAACCTGTATCTTTCATTTAAAAACAACTTCAGTTTTGCTGTAAATGCTATAATCCACAGAGTGCTACATAGCTGTGTTTCAGTTTAGGCTTTCCACCATATGTGGTTTCTGTGGCACTTTCTTCAGGTACTGTAAGGCAGAGTTCTGTGGCAGTGAAATGCTTTCCCCACTGGAGAGCAGAAATGCAGTTGTTAGTTTATTGTTGTCCTTGGATGATATGGAGCAGGAAGATTTACTAGACTCCTCTAGAAAATATTTTGTATGTATTTATGACTTTTGTTAGTGGAAAAAATGTATGGGATTTTCTGCTGTGAATGTGGTGAGACATAATGAAAAATGAGTCGTAGTAGACTCTAAATAAATTAATGAAAGTTCTTGTAATTTTTCTCTCACCTCTGTATTGCAATTATACATGTTGTCCCAGGCAAGTTGAGGAAGGAGTTGGCATTACAGTAAATAATGTAGAAACCCCCTTGATGTAGATCCACTGACCTCTATCAGCCTAGATTGTTTTAAAATGTACTTTATGTGCGTCAGTCTAGTTTTCATGCTTTTCTATCAACTCGAGGAGGAAAGAGAAGGATGGATCCTCAAGAGTGTAAATCTTTTGAATTTGCACGTACTCTGGAGTTAGCAAGCCCTTTAGCATTCAGAGTCTTGCTGTCAGCAAGTCTCCCCATAGGCCCACACTCAAAGAATTTGTCTCACTTAGCACTGGGCTGATGTGAAGTCATTTCATTTAATCAGCATAAAACAATTTATCACCCGTCTATAGGAGTGCAAGATCTGGAGGTAGTGACCACTGTGCTCTCCCTTGGGCATGGCAGTTAGTGCTTGCCCTGCTCAACACCTGGCACTTAACAATCTGAGTCTCTTCAGCTGCTCAGTTTTAAACATTAACAATTTGGACTGAGATTCTGTAAGGTGGGTTTCATGCCTTCTGCTACTGAAATTATGGTGTTTCTGAGATCAGGGTTGGCGGTGGGGGAGGGCGGTGGGGAAGACCGGAGGAGGGAGTAGTGAACTGTGGGAGGTTAATCACCCTTTCTTTGTTCCTTAAAGAGGGTATTTAGGAGCAGTAGTGCTATGGCCATTTGGCGGGAGGGCGGGGGGAAGACCGGAGGAGGGAGTAGTGAACTGTGGGAGGTTAATCACCCTTTCTTTGTTCCTTAAAGAGGGTATTTAGGAGCAGTAGTGCTATGGCCATTTGGCATTGACACCAAAGATGCATCTTGTAACATCCTACTGAAAACCAGGCTGTTTTGGGAACCACTGAAAAGTCTCTAATTGTAGGTGCTTTGTAGACATGTTACAGGATTTTCCATTCCTGTGTACATGTTCCATCCTCTCTTATTACTCCAGTGTACCAAAGTGAAGACCAGGTCCTCCCCTGTAAGCCAACTGCATCAGTGAGGGAGGATTTTATAGCCCCCAGCTGCTCAGCATCACGCACTGCTGTGACAGTATATTGTGGGAGCTCCCTGCCTTGCTCCACACAAAATTAGACCAGTTAAGGCAAATCATCTAATAAAAACAACCTGGTTGAAGGTGCCTGGGGCAGATTAGGGGAGCGCTCATGGGAACCATGTCACAGGTCTGGTAACAGGCATGAGACAAGCAATAGTGGTTGCAACTGCCTTCTTGGCTGTTTGCCTTCAGCCTCCCAGGTACAGCCGGAGTTTCCAAGGAACAACTGAGAAAACTGGGGATGAACGGCATGAGTAGGTCTCTCCCTGCAACAGATGCTCCTCCTTGCAGGGAAGCTGAGGCCCATGAGCTGGAAATGTCTCCAACTGCTCTGCTTCTCCAGGACATCCCACAGGTATGCAAGTAGTTGGAGGAAGGCAGGCAGAAGGGAAGCTGAGTGGCCATGGGGAAGAACGGTGGAAGAGGACCTTGTCTGAGGAGGGTGAGAAGTGGTCAGAAGAGGGAGTCAGGGACTAAAGGGAGGAAGTGGCTAGTTAATGGTTGTGTAGGTTTTGGTGGGAGTGGAGGGACATTCAGTTTAGGGCACAGTCCGACATGTTCTGCTCCTTGGGTCCAGGCATGAGGCAGGTTCTAGGGGGTACAAGCTGAGGTGAAAAAGCTAATGAGTATAGGCATGCAGTAACCTATGGTGTAGGGCAGAAGGTGGTTTGGAAACTAGGCCAAAAATCAGAATACAAGAGCAGTGAGAACAAGGCAAGCAACAGAGGGAAGTGGGAAAACCTTGGACAAAAAGTACTTAGCAACAGGCCTAACAACACTGCATTGTGCAGATGCTGCCCTTAAGACCTGTGTATTTTGGAGAGTTCCTGCTCCGGAAGCCGATCAGGGCCAGTGCCTGATGTTCTCCAGCTGTCCTGCAAGCTGTGGCACTTGCTGATGCTGCCAACTCTCTGCAGTCATGACATCTAGTGCTTCTTGCTGTTCTCCTTCCTTTCCATTCAAGGTTTCCACGCCCCTTGATTGCACTGGAATTACACCAGCAAATTCAAAATGGTCCTCCCATTTTGTGGTTTTTTTATAATTTTTTTTTAAGTAGCTACACATGCTAGTAGTTACATTAGTAGGTCATCTAAGTGGTGCTTGATAAAATTGGAGGTGTTTATAGCCTTGATTACTTCAACTGGAATAGCACATCTGGTCATGGCCTTTAGTCTTTAGTCGAGCTAATGCAAGCTATTTGACTTGACTAGAGTTGGAAGTAGCTACACATGCTAGTAGTTACATTAGTAGGTCATCTAAGTGGTGCTTGATAAAATTGGAGGTGTTTATCGCTTTTAGCCTTGATTACTTCAACTGGAATAGCACATCTGGTCATGGCCTTTAGTGATGCTTCAGTGTATTTTGAATAACAGTGGGAATGTAAAGTCTACTGATCAACTTAAACAATACCTCTGTTAATGTACAGAGGTAATAT